TGCGATCACAGGAACAAGAGTTTTATTTGCCTGACGTTTCGGATTCCCTCGGAAATCCGAAACTTCAGGCAAAAAAACTCTTGTTCCAGTGATCGCATCTTCTTTCTCTGACCTTCGCATTTCCAACTACTGTATGACACGAAACGCATGGAAAGGTTAAGTTTAAATTAAATGCGAGCAAGTTCTGTGAGGAAAACCTAAAGTAAATCTCTACCTCCGTCGAGCACAGCGACTCTTTTTTGAGTAGGCTATTTCCTTATGACACTCGAATCAATTCCTTGCTAAAATTTGGCGCATCTGCGACTGGTGTGACATATGCCAACTAATCATTCCTCCGGATTTAGTTTTATATGCAACCAGTATTTCGTTGGTTTGCTCTTAAAGAACTACGTTAACGCATTGGATAAAACATGCCTGGATACGGCATGATAAGCGACCGCCGTTAGCGTGGATGCGTTTATCGCCGTCGCGACTTGCGGTGATCCGTAAACGAACGACAGGCGAGTATTCAATACATCTCGCAGGCAAAGACGGCGTATAAGGTTAATCCATTCTCTAACGAAATCTGGACATCGAAGTGCGAAGCCCTCTACTGGATCTTGTAAGCGTAGCTCTATTGCGCTTCCACACATGATAAAGATAAGAGTTATTGTATGGACACCATGAACCTATACATGGAACAGGTAGCAGTAGGAGTTGGGTGTGGTTCATGACTTGACTCAAAACAACCTCAGCACGAAAGCGGCCATGTGCATCAAACTCTTACAGGGTCTGAAAAGATAGCTTCTGTAAAATATTTGGAATCTTCGTGCAACCGCATCTGGAATACCCTATGCAACCATGAGTAACTTGAACTGCCCAGTACCATAACTATTTAGAGAAGATTCAGAGGCGAGTGACAACAATATTCCATGATCTGTAGCCACTGCCCTTCGAAAAGAGACGGTCGATCCCAGTCTCTTTCCCTTTCAAGCAGATAACTAAGCTGGATCTCATCCTAGTCTTCTGCATCGTACCTAAACGAAACTGTCGCTTCTTTCCCAAAGTATACTTTCACCCAGGATAACGCCCACTTTGCGCAGTCATCTACCTAAACCACGTGAGAGAAACGTACGATCGATGCACACAAGTTTTTCTTCAGTTCTTACTGCTCTGTGTGTGGATTCATATAAGGTCACACATAAAAATGTTCATAATTTAGCAACACAGAACCGCTTAATATACCGCTACACAGCAAATTTATATAAACGCACTACTTATAATAAGTAAGTACAAGTTGTTGTTTAGACATTTACAACAGCTGCTACATTAACATTAACAACAGCTGCTACATTGTCGCAATGTACTTTGCGAATTCGTACATTTTATTTAAACTTTTAGTAATCACTTAGAAGTTCAAAGGCGTTAGACCATGTTATCCTTAAGAAAAATGAACTAGAGGGAGCACTACTGGATGACAGGAAACATTCACCATGTAGTTAGATCGCCAAAACAGTCGGTGACGTTCGCATA